AAACAGATGAATAATATTCCATTGTATAAATGTTCCATGCTTTCATTATCTGTTCATTAGTTGAGGGACAGCTAAGGTGCTTCCGTTTCCCGGTTATTGTGAATAGAGCAGAAGTGAACCTGGGTGAGCAGGTGTCTCTGTAATAGGATACAGTGTCCGGTGTATATGCTCAAAGGTGGTATGACGGGATCATGTGGGAGATCTGTAGCTTCTGAGGAATGTCCACATAATTGCCAAATGGTTGCACCAGTGTGCACTCCCACCAGGGGTGAATAAGGTCCCCTTTTCCCCACATGCTTGCCAGCATTTGTCACATGTTGGCCAGTCCGACTGAGGTAAGATGAAGTCTCAAAGTCAAAATGTGGTCCATGCATACAATGGAATATTATTTGTCAATAAAAAGAAATGAGCCAAGTGTGTAGGTGGGCATCTTTAGCCTAGTGCTTGAGAGACTGAGGCAGGAAGATAGAGAGATTGAGGCCAGCCTGGGCTACATATTTACCATGTTCAAGGCAACCCCCAGGGTGTTGAACAAAGAAATGTAGGACTAAGATGTGATTAAAAAAAGGAAAAAACCTTAAAATATCAATTAACTGAAAATATCCAGCCACAGAGACCACAGCTTGTATCATTGTGTTTGCATGAAATTCCAGAATTTGAAAATACTTGGAGACAGAAAGTGGATTAAAGGCTGACAGGGCTGCAGGGAGGAGGTTGGAGCAGCGTGCGATGGAGAGGAACAAGGAATGGTTACTGTTGGGTACAAGGTTCCTTTTTCGGGTGAGGACAGTTTTCTAAATGATTTTGGTGATAGTTACACAGCTCTCTATAAAAATCATTGAATTATGTCTTTCAAATTAGCCATATGAATTATATTTCAATCAAGTTATTATAAAAGAAAAAAAATATCAAGAGGGTCAGAGGTAAGGAGTGTACCAGCCAGCTGGAATATAGGGTTAGCTGTAATATCCAAAAAGATCATTCAAACACATAGCACACGTCTATAAGATTGCAACTACCTGAGGTTTTGCTAATTAAAAAAACAGTGTAAAGGCTCTGGACCTCCTTGGTCCCCTCTTCCTCCCTGGTGTGCACCTCTTGCTCACTTGGTTTAAGACACACGTTCAAAGCAACAGCGGCGGCTCTCTAATTGACGTCAAAACTGCATTCTGAGCAGCTGCTACTCCCTCTTCTCTAGGATTCAATGGGGAGGTGCTTGCCTCCTGTTCACTGCATCTCCAGAGAGCTTGAAAAGTGCTATAAAAGACTGAGCACTGCCTATTTCAATCAAGTTATTATAAAAGGAAAAAAAATATCAAGAGGGTCAGAGGTAAGGAGTGTACCAGCCAGCTGGAATATAGGGTTAGCTGTAATATCCAAAAAGATCATTCAAACACATAGCACACGTCTATAAGATTGCAACTACCTGAGGTTTTGCTAATTAAAAAAACAGTGTAAAGGCTCTGGACCTCCTTGGTCCCCTCTTCCTCCCTGGTGTGCACCTCTTGCTCACTTGGTTTAAGACACACGTTCAAAGCAACAGCGGCGGCTCTCTAATTGACGTCAAAACTGCATTCTGAGCAGCTGCTACTCCCTCTTCTCTAGGATTCAATGGGGAGGTGCTTGCCTCCTGTTCACTGCATCTCCAGAGAGCTTGAAAAGTGCTATAAAAGACTGAGCACTGCCTCTGTAGAAATGTGGCCCGATTGGGGAGTCAACACGTGATCACAGCAATGATGCTTCAATCAGGCCTGAAGAGTAACTAAAATAAAGATGAAAAAGCAGAATCAGGACAGGAGCATTCTTGTTGGAACAAGATTAAGAAGTACGACAAGAAACAGGGATGCCTGAAGGAATCAAAGTTGTACTTGTCTGCGGGACAGACGGCAAGAACGTGGTGGGATGTGGAAGGTTTGGTCGAGAAAGCCGGGAGAGGGCTAATGTCTTCTAAACGTGAAAAACTTGAAGGTCACGGGCAAGGGATCAAAGTGCATCCTAAGGGCACTTTTCAACACTAATGGGCTTAAATAGTGAAAATATTGTTAGAATATTTTTTGTAAGACTCCTCTCCTTGTGTGCTAAGCAGTAAGTTACAAGGGGAAAAAAAGAAATCGGAAGGAAGCATAGGAGTCCAAGAGAAGACTGTTGCAGTGATGTAGAAAAGGAAATCCCGATTAGAAAGTGTACTTTTGAAAAAGGAGTGGATGGATTGCAGGGATACTTAGGAGACAACATTGTTCAGACTGACTGACTAGATGAAGGACTACTAAGAGCAGAACCAAGGCACGGCCAGGTTCCTAGTGTGGATCACAATGGGGGGATCTTCCACTGAGATGAAAATTCTTTGTAAAAATCAGGTGTGGATCTATGATAAGGCGTTTTTTTTTCTTTAAAACTTTAAATTAAAAAAAAATTTTTATTGCTTTTATTTTATGTGTATGCATATATTTCCTGCATGTAAGTAAGTGGACCCGTGTCGTATAATGCCCACGGAGGTCAGAAGAGGCCCTCGGATCCCCTGGGATTGGAGTTATGGATAGTTGTTAGCTGCCATGTGGGTTCTGGGATTCGAACCCGGGCCTTCTGCAAGACCAACCAGTGTTCTTAACCGCTGAGCCATTGCTCCAGCCCAATAAGGCATTTTTATAGCCAGGTGTGGTGGCACAAGCCTGTCGTCCCAGCCCATGGGGGAGGGTGGCAAAGCAAGAGGATCAGGAGTTCTAGAGCAGTCGGGGCTGCATAACAAGACTGTCTAAAAAAGAAAAGGCTTACAACTGTGGACATGCTGCATATTTAAAAGCCCACGTCCAATAGACAGCTGTGATTCACAATCCAGAGACCTAAGTGCTGCATCTCACATCAGTGAAAGCTGAAGCCGTAGAGCACAGGGAGAGGAATGCAGAGAGAAGAGAGCACAGAGCACAGAACTCTGAAGAGACTGCCCTATACGCAATGGAAACATCCGAGGATGTGACGAAGTGACCAGAGGGTTGAAGAGGAGCCAGCAGTGGCCGTGGAGCAGCCTCTCCAGAGGGAAGCAGTGGCCACCATGCCACGTGCCCTGTGACCCTGGGACATCAGGTGAACTGAGGGGAGAGAGCTTATTGTGCTGTGCTGCATTTTCATCAAGGTGATCCTAACGAAAGGCATTTCAGTTGTACAGCAGGGCCGCTGCGTGGTAAGTTCACGGATATGGTGGCTGCAAACGCTGGAGGAGTTGGTCCATAAAGAGAAGAGAGTGATGGGGGTGAGGGGGAGCCAGAAAGAGATGCAGAATTATAACAGGAGTATTTTTTAACCTGAGTGATACTTAAGACTTCAAACTTGAAATTGATGCAGGAGTGTGAAGTTTCTATTAGGATCATGATGGTTCTTAGTCCTCCCTTGTAAAAGGAAATCTGGAAGGAACGAACAAGTGAGAGATTCGAAGCCAGCTTCCTGCCTGTTGCCTTACCAGAATCTCTTCAAGCAGGCTGATTGTAAGATGGCCATTAAAATCTGCTCTCCTACCAGGGGTTTACTTAGGGCAACACATAATATTGAAGTTACTGATTTAGGGGACTGCAGAGATGGCTCAGCAGTTAAGAGCACTTGTTCTTCCAGAGGACCTGGGTTTTGTTCCCAGCACCTACATGGCAGCCAGCCACCACCTGTAACTCCAGTACCAGGGGACCAGATGCATTCTTCTGGCCCTGGCAGGCATTGTATGACATGGGTGCACATACATACATGTGGGCATTAAAACTCATACACATAAAACAAAAATAATGAAATAGTAACAAAGAAATTACTTTCTTACCATCTTTAACACACCATCTGATTCTAGAATACACTTTTCAAGACTACTTAATATTTGCCCCCCTATAAAATTCTGGTGGAGATGCAAATATTTGTCTTCTATCATCTTCGTCTTTCATAGACTGGCCTGGGACTCCAGATCCTTCTGCCTCAGCCTCCTGAGCTCTGGGATCGCAGGTGTGCTGTCTCTCTCCTTGTCTCGGTTCTACAATCTCCAGGGCTCCTTCTGGGGCTGTGCTTCTCTGTTACTGTGATTGGGAGCTGGGTCTTCAGACACGGAAATGGGACGAATGTGCCACAGCAGCAAGTGCACACCGTGGTGAGCCTGAGGCTCCCCCAGGAAGGCTCTGCCGTCCGCACACTGGACAGTGACTCAAAGACGCCGTCTGTCACCCTGCCTAAAAATGCCATCCCACTTTATTCAAGTACTTGGTATTTAATAAAATTCATTTAGCAAATGATTGTGAGATTAAAGAACCGTCAAGTCCATATGAATCCTCAGGACAGTCAAATGACTTCCCCCACTCCGTGTTGAGATAATTGAGAAGTCTGGTGATGTAGGGCTGAGAAAAAGACTCAAATCGAGGAACACTGGGTCCTCCAATGAGGTACCAGGCCGGCCTGGACAGATGTTACAGTGCAGGGCTAAGTAAGCTCAGCATCAAAACCTATGTGAGACCATGAAAAAGGAGGAAAGTTCAGACTGACTCAGGAGATGAAAGGTGCCTAAGATAAGCATCATCCTTAAAGCTGCCTTGAGTCAAGGCAGGCCCAGGAATGGCTGGTAAAATACTTTTCATTTCTCTGCAATATTCTTAAACTTCAGAACTCGAGTGTTTAGTCAGGCTTCTCCAGAGAAGCAGGCCCCACAGTCCCAGATCCATGCGAATGTGTGTGCAAAGAGAGATGTGTTAGAAGGGATTCTCACACATGATCATGGGAGTTGATATGTCTCAAAGATAATCACAGTGGGTCAGCAAACTGGACGCCCAGGAGAACCCCAAGTACAGTTACAGCCTGGAGACCAGTAGGCTCAAGGCCACGAAGAAATGCTGGTTCAGTTTGAGTGTGAAAGCGTGTGAAAAGGCCAGTACCCATCAAAGGCATCAGATAGTAGAAGCTTTTTGACGGATGTGAGAACCAGTGTAGGCTACGGGACAGTTCATGGTGGCTGGTTCCAATGCTGTTGGGGATGAGAAGATATGGACACTCTGGCAGGTCCCACTGGCCAGGACCTCTTTGTCAATGGGTGCCTTATGGAAAGGCAGGTCAACCTCTGGGAGCAAACTGACAACCTCGGTACAGCACTGCTCCAAATCAATGAGGAACGAGACGACCCTGGGTCTTGGCTTTGGGCTAATATGCTGCTTAATGCCAGGTGACAAGTTGTCTTGGTTAACACCATGCTGCCCAGTACACAAGGATGGGCGAGGTGGCTAGGCCACAGCAAACACTTAGCTTCAAACAGAGCCTAAGGGAATTGTCATGTGACCCTGCACTCCCCCTGCTGGCCACACACCCTTATGGGAAAGAGGCTCAGAGAGTTTCCAGCAGCAGCACAAGAGGCAATCAACGGAAACAACTCATGTCCAGGGACAGGTGAACACAGATAAATGTGGCATGCGGTACACCGCAATATCAAACAGCTAAAAAGGCAAAGTTCTGGTGCCAGATGGGATGGCTCACACCTGCAATCCCAGCATTTAGGAACCTGGGGTAGGATATTTCTAATCCTGAGAGGCCAACCTGGGCTGCAGAGTGGGTGTCCTGTTTTAAAAGAGAAATGACAACAACAACAATAATAAGTACAGCAGGCTACAACATAGGTAACAAGAAATAAAAAGGCTTAGGTTAGGGGCTGGAGAGTTGACTCAGAGATTAAAAGCTCTGGCTGCTCTTTGCAGAGAACCCGGGTTCAAATCCCAGCACCCACACTGCAGCTAACAACAGTCTGTAACTCCAGTTCTGGAGGATCCGATGTCCTCTTCTGACTTCCATGCAGGACACAGGTGCACTTACATACATGTAGGCAATACATTCATATACATAAAAATTTAAAAAATAATAAATAAAAACATTAAAGGCTTAGGTTAGTAAAACTCATTTTTAGAAAGTACCAAGAATTGGCTAATTCCTAGGGAAAGGAAATAGATTAGAGGTCAGCAGGGCTTGAGGGTCATGAGGAGTTACTGTTAAACGGTTACAGCTTGTTTCAGGTGATAAAATCTAGAAATAGCTGTGGTAGCTGCACAACTGGCTGCAACTAATGGTATTTATTTGTATGCTTAACAGGCTATGCTAGCACTTTTGTTATAAATACTGTAAAATTTAAAACGGTGTTTAGGGAAGAGGATAAAACACATCCATTAAGGTCAGATAGTGCTCTTTATGCAGACCCCTCAGGATCCTTTGGGCAAAGAATACACGGGTTTTGAGACAAGAGATGGACCAGAGACATGATGTGCAGGCACTCTGCCTATGCTGGTGTCCTCTCCCTAGAGTCTCAAGAGACCGTCCCAGGACTTTCCTTGAAACTTTGGAGGTGCATGGCTCCTCCTGAGGGTCCTCATTTTCTGGGTGCACTCTCCCCAGACTCCCAAACTCTCCCTAGACTCACCTAGACCCATTCTGTGCTGGATGTGGTTGTGAAAGTCTGGGCTGCCATAGTGAACAGGATGACTGGCCTGCAGCCTGGATATAGAGCTCATCTGTTTCCAGGTATCAGGCCAGTTCATAGCATCAGGGACTGGCCATCATCTCTGCCACAACCCTAAACGTGAGCTGAAGATCTCCTAGTGATGTCCAGAGGGTGACATCAGGACACAAAATCACCACACAGAATTACTTCCATGAGACTAGAACTGATCTTGCAGAGCCTGGTTTCTAACCCTGTCCCAGCTGACCTAGAGATCCCTTCCCTTAATCCTGCTCTGACCTACCGGCTAATTCCTGTGTCTCTGAGCACATTACTCCGTGAGGAGATGCTGTGTAGTCCTCTCCCTCCTGACATCACCATTGGGTAAAGAGAAGGTTGACACTAGGGGAGTGGCTGAGGCAGAGGCCAGAGGCATCCCAGAAAGGTCACAGGAGACATGGGCCCCAGCTCAGCCTGCACAGGGAGCTGGAGGGTCTCCCTGAACCCTGCATAGCATGGTGGAGCCCACAGTCCTCTTTCCAGGACACACAGGTCACCTCCTCCTGCACACCAGGAAAAGAAACGCCTGAGACAACTGCTCCTGGGCCTCCGTCCTTGGATCAGAGAGAGTCCAGACTGGACACTAGTGACAAGGATTGGCTCCCCCCTCCCCTCCACTAGTCATCACTCAGCGTCTCACTTTCCAGCTCCAGAGACAGCTCTGTCACCTCCTGCAGGGAGTAAATCCCACCTTCCCAGAGAACTGAGGGAAGCCTGGGTGCTCAGCTGCTCTTCACAAGGAAGAACACAACGTGGATTTGGAGGGCAGGGCTCCCCCTCGGTGCTGTCAGACCAAGGCCAGGACACAGCAGACGTCAGCCCTGGGTGAGCTGCTGTTCCCTGTCAGCCTTGGTGTCTAAGTGTGCTCTAGAGGACTGAACCATTGAGGAGACACAGGGCAGAGGGAGGCTGGCAGCTCTGAGAGAGGAGGGCACAAAGCTGTGTGCTGGACACGGACCCCGCCCTCAGCCCTCAGCCCATGTGACTCTGGGAGGGGCTTCTGCCTGGGAGGAGGCTGAGGTCTAGGGAGGAAGGACAGCAGAGCTGACAGCACAGCAGCAGGGCTGGGGAGCAGTGCTGGGGCCGAAGCTCTTCTCCACAGAGGGAGGACAGAGCAGCCCTGACCACGGAGCCCCTCTCTGCCCCTCCACGCACTGGGAGTATCTGTTGGCAGCGGCTGCTGTTCACAGGTGAGGGGCCCATTCCCTGGGCATGGGAGGGAGGCACAGACACTGGTTGGGGTCGCCAAGGGAAGAACAGAACCTGAGAGGGGACACTACGAGGGACAGAGTCTCAGCAACTAGAAGGTCTCAGTGTACAGGGATTAGTAAGGGGGAGGAGACACTCAAGTGATCCTGTTCTAAGCTAATCACCACTGAGCACTATATGCTGAAGACAGACGTTCCCAACAGTGTCAGAATGATTCTCCAATAACCCCGAGATGGGTATTAAACATTGTTCTTAGCTACCAATGGAAGAAATTCATAAATAAGCCTCTGTACACGCAGGGCCTGGAACATATATTCATTCATCAACAGGCATCTAAGCCTGTTCCAGGCAGTGGGGCTTAAACAAAGAACAGACTAGACCTCACACAACCCTCATCCTAGGGGACTAGGGAACAGACCCGCAAGGACTTCTAGAAGGTGATGACGGGGGATTGACAAGAGCCACCGAGGAAACAGCAGAGAGGGTCAGAAACTGAAGACTCGGGGACCCTAGGGGGAGGTCAGGGAAGGAGTACCCTGTATCCTCCCCCAGACCTGTGAGAGTGAGCAGGGATCTGAGGGCCATGAGGGGTGAGCCCTGAGGAAGAACGTTCCAGAGGGGAAGTGACAAGTTCAGGACACTGAGCTAATGGAGACCATGCTGCTGACCTCGGCTCAGGAGGACACACACACACACACACACACACACACACACACACACACTCTAAGGTAGAGGGAGGAACATAACTTCTCAGGATAAGGGCCCTATATTTCTAACAAATACAAAGTTCCCAATATTGATGATTTCTCTTTCTTCGCTCGTAGCCTCATTGTTAACCTTCTGGAGCTCCCCCACCTCTGCTCAACTCCATGTTGAACTGGTGCCGCCCCTGGTTGCTGAAGGGAAGAACGTTCTTCTGGTTGTCCACAACCTGCCTGAGAATGTTTTTGTCTTTTACTGGTACAAAGGGAAACGTTTAGGCAATGCCAATGAAATTGCACGATATTTAATACCCAGAAATGAAAATAGGACAGGGCCTGCACACAGTGGTAGGGAAACCATATTTCCCAATGGATCCTTGCTGTTCCAGAACGTCAACCAGAACGACACAGGATTCTACACGCTACAGACCTTCACTCCAAGAGGTGATAGGAACGAAATACCTGTGCAGCTCCACGTACACCGTGAGTAATTCTCTGTGACCTCTCGGTGCTGGGTGTGGCTAATCCCTACAAAGCTGTCAGCCTGGACAGTGTGTACCTCCCCTCTGTATTTTGTCATCATGTGTGGTTTGAGAATTTAGTGCAAGACATACAGCTGAGACGAATGTAACAGATGAGAATCCCTCACCTGAATCCACCCGGCAGAGAGGAGGACGTATGCTGGGATGACCCAAACAGAGGGATCAGACTCAGCACAGACTCTTGGGGCCTTCAACATGAATTTGGTCCTGAGAAGGCCCCTGTGAGACTCAGGCAGGGCCTGGTTGAGGAAACCAGGGATCCTCACTGCGAGGTGAGCACCAGGATGCCCTGGCTCCAGCCCTCTCTCCCAGACTTCTGACTCCAGGTGATCTGGGGAGCCTGGGGACAGGGATGGAGTTTGACCCTCTTTTAGAACTGAAAGTGAGCAATGATTTGTGGCTGTCTGAGTGTCATGGGTTCAGTCAGTGCACTCTCCTGAGAGCCACATCTAGGCTCGGTCACCTGGGCATCTCCTCCTGAGTCTCAGCACAGAGAACAGAGGACAAGTGCCCAGGCCACTAGCCAAGTACCCTGATGAGCTTATGAGACTCCACAGGAAGATCAGTGTCCCCAAGGAGAGGAGCAGAGGATAAAGGTCCACCTGGAGCTCTGTGTGCTCAGGGTCCAGCCCAAGGAGTTCTCTCTTGCAGGCAGACAGCAATAGGTGCTGCTGATGTGGGCAGCTGGCCGTCCCAAGGTCAGGTCAGTGTTAATATTTAAGGTTACCTACAGACAGGCAATTACCATTTCCCATGTATCCTACTGT